TCAAAATGGCGATATTACCAAAAGTTCTCTATAGGTTTAATGCAATGCCAATCAAAATCCCAACGGCATTTCTTGTAGAAATAGAGAAAGCAATCATGAAATTCATATGGAAAAATAAAAGACCCAGAATAGCAAAAACAATGCTAAGCAGGAAGTGTGAATCAGGCGGTATAGCGATACCAGACTTCAAACTATACTACAGAGCAATAGTAACAAAAACAGCATGGTACTGGTACCAAAACAGGCGGGTGGACCAATGGTACAGAATAGAGGACACAGAAACCAATCCACAAAACTACAACTATCTTATATTTGATAAAGGGTCTAAAAGCATGCAATGGAGGAAGGATAGCATCTTCAACAAATGGTGCTGGGAAAACTGGAAATCCATATGCAACAAAATGAAACTGAATCCCTTTCTCTCGCCATGCACAAAAGTGAATTCAAAATGGATCAAGGAGCTTGATATCAAATCAGAGACACGCCGTCTGATAGAAGAAAAAGTTGGCTACGATCTACATACTGTGGGGTCGGGCTCCAAATTCCTCAATAGGACACCCATAGCACAAAAGTTAATAACTAGAATCAACAAATGGGACTTACTCAAACTAAAAAGTTTTTTCTCAGCAAAAGAAACAATAAGAGAGGTAAATAGGGAGCCTACACCCTGGGAACAAATCTTTACTCCTCACACTTCAGATAGAGCCCTAATATCCAGAGTATACAAAGAACTCAAAAAATTAGACAATAAGAGAACAAACAACCCAATCAACAAATGGGCCAAGGACCTGAACAGACACTTCTCAGAGGAGGACATACAGTCAATCAACAAGTACATGAAAAAATGCTCAACATCTCTAGCTGCCAGAGAAATGCAAATCAAAACCACCCTAAGATACCATCTCACTCCAGTAAGATTGGCAGCCATTAGGAAGTCAAACAACAACAAGTGCTGGCGAGGATGTGGGGAAAAGGGTACACTTGTACATTGCTGGTGGGACTGCAGATTGGTGCAGCCAATTTGGAAAGCAGTATGGAGATTTCTTGGAAAGCTGGGAATGGAGCAACCATTTGACCCAGCTATTCCCCTTCTTGGTCTATTCCCTAAAGACCTAAAAAGAGCATGCTACAGGGACACTGCTACATCGATGTTCATAGCAGCACAGTTCACAATAGCAAGACTGTGGAACCAACCTAGATGCCCTTCAATAGACGAATGGATAAAAAAAATGTGGCATTTATACACAATGGAGTATTACTCTGCATTAAAAAATGACAAAATCATAGAATTTACAGGGAAATGGATGGCATTAGAGCAGATTATGCTAAGTGAAGCTAGCCAATCCCTAAAAAACAAATGCTAAATGTCTTCTTTGATATAAGGAGAGTAACTAAGAACAGTGTAGGGACGAAGAACAGGAGAAGAAGATTAACATTTAACAGGGATGAGAGGTGGGAGGGAAAGGGAGAGAGAAGGGAAATTGCATGGTAATGGAAGGAGACCCTCAGGGTTATACAGTGGAGGGGGTAGAGAGAGAGGAGGGGAGGGGAGGGGAGAGGTGGGGAGGGGGGAGGGGGGAGGATGGGAAAGGCAGTGGAGCACAACAGACACTAGTATGGCAATTTGTAAATCAATGGATGTGTAACTGATGTGATTCTGCAATCTGTGTATGGGGTGAAGGTGTGAGTTCATAACCCACTTGAATCAAAGTGTGGAATATGATATGTCAAGAAATTTGTAATGTTTTGAACAACCCACAATAAAAAATTTAAAATAAATAAATAAATAAATAAATAAATACTGGCATGGTTCTGAGGAAAATGTACACTTGTACATTGTTGGTGGGACTACAAACTAGTACAAACACTCTGGAAAGCAATATGGATATTCCTCAAAAAATTAGAGATGGAGTCACCATATGACCTCGCTATTCCACTCCTTTGTATTTTTCTAAAAGACCTAAAATTATCATACTACACTGACACGGCCATCTCAATGTTCATAGCAGCATAATTCCAATAGCTAAATTATGAATCAACCCAAATGCCTGCCAGTAGATTAATGGATTAAGAAATTGTGGGAGATATATATATACATACATACACACACATACACACACAATGGAGTTCTACTCAACCATAAAAAGGAATAAAATTATGGCATTTGCTAGTAAATGGATAGAAATAAAGAAGATCATGCAAAGTAAAATTAGCCAAACTCACAAACTCAAATGTCAAATGTTTTCTCTCATATGTGGAATGAAGATAGTACTCTAAAGGAAATAAAGAGGGAAGAATATGATAAAAAATAACTAATCAAATAAAAATTAATAGATGAGCTAAAGGAAGTTCAGTGAAGTAGAAGAAGGAGAATGGGAAAGGAGGGAAAAGACAGGAGGGGAAAGTTGAAGGAAAGAGGAGATCCTGAACTGAAGTCAGTTTTCACACATGTATGAGTTTTTCAGGGTGAACCAACCATATGTAGAACTATAAAGCTCTAACAAAAAATAATTGTTTGATTCACAAAATAGAAAGCAAGAAAGCAACAGAAGAGGAACTTAAACAAAACAGATAAGTGAAAAACCAAGAATAAGATGGTTGCATTAAACTGAGCCATTTCAATATTTATGTTAAATATAAATGGATTAAATACCTCATTTAAAAGGCAGATATTTTCAGCCTGGGTAAAAAAGCAATACCTAAGTTTCCACTGTCTGAAAGATACACATTTAAACTATAACACATAGATAATTTGGAAGTAAAAGATGGTGAAGAATCTGCCACACCAACAGTAAGCATAGGACATCTGGCAGGGTCACATTAGCAGAAGACAAAATAAACTTCAAAGATTACTACAAGAGATAAAAGATAATATTACATAATGACAAAAATGAAGTTCAACTAGGAAGATATAATTATCCTAAATCCAAAATTCAAAACTCATGAAGCAAACTGACAGTGCTCAGAGATATTCTTACTTTTTTCTTAGTAATTAATAGGACAAACAAACAAAAATAAATGAAAATACAAAAGTCCAGAACTATACTTCAACTAACTTGATCAAATTGGCATTTACAGAACAAGGCATCCAAAAAACTCATGTTTGTTAAAGGTGTGCATGGGACTTCCACCAAGATAGACCATCTGTTGAACCATCAAACATTATTTTACTTAAAAGAATTGAGACCTCACATGTGTTCTGAAAGATTTTGATATCATATTGTCTTGCCACAGTAGAAGTAAATTAGAAAATAACAAATTAGTTACCTAGAAAATCTCTCTAAATTTTTTTAGGAATTAAATATAACATTTCAAAATAATCAATGGGTCAAATAAGAAATGAAAATATTTCAACTCAAAGGATAATGAAAGAAATGTATCAAAATGTGTAGAATGCAACTCCAATAGTTATGTGGTTAATAGAGGAAATTTTGTAAATATAAAAATTATGATAGAAAAAACAAAAATGTTTTAGATCAATGATTTAAGTTTACATTTAGAAAACTCAAAAATAGGCAAGAGTAAAGAAATAATATCACTGGGCTGGGGATGTGGCTCAAGCGGTAGTGCGCTTGCCTGGCATGCATGCGGCTTGGGTTCGATCCTCAGCACCACATACAAACAAAGATGTTGTGTCCGCTGAGAACTGAAAAATAAATATTAAAAAATTCTCTCTCTCTCTCTCTCTCTCTCTCTCTCTTTAAAAAAAAAGAAATAATATCAGAAATTAATTTTAAAAAAGGAAAGAAATTAACAAAAGGGAGAATTTACAAAGCCAAAAATAAGTCATAAGTGATAAATAAAATTGATAAGGTTGTGGAGGAATTATCAAGGAAAAAAAAAGGAAAACAAGTTATCCAAAGTAGAAACTAAATAAAGTGGGTTATCACACCAGATCCTATAGGCATTAAAAACATGTTAAGAAAATATAAGAACTTTTGCCACCATATTTATTATCACTTAGCTAAAAAAGAACAAATTACTTCAAAAACAAAACTTACCTAAATTGGCTCAAAAAGAAAAAAAATCCATACTTCTCTGTGTATACTTCTGACTTTCAGAACTATGTAAATATTTTGTGTATTTAATAAACAAGAAAGGGGTAGGGAAAGGAGGCAAAATTTTATACAAGCAGAAATAAATTAGCTGAGGAGTATTACAAATAAAATGTTCATACTAAAGGCAGATGGGAGAAAAAGAATATAAATAAATTAGAAAACAGTGTGTTCTAAGGCTAAAAATAAAAAAGAACAGTAGATAAATTGTTGGAAATAATCCAAAAGTTGAACAGGAAAAATGGGTAATTATATCATGATATATTTATACGATAAGATACTACTCAAGAAGTAAGAAGGGATACTTACTATTATACATAACAGAAATGAATCTCAATCAGTATACTAAGTAAAAGATCATCAGAAACAAATGATACATGCTATATAATTCCATTTATCTGGAATTCTAATCTACAGAGATAGAAATTGGTGGCTATCATGAGTAATATTTCAATGAAGATTGACATGAGAGTATGAGGGAATATTCTCTACAGATGAAATTATCTCTATGCTATTGATTTGGTGGGTAGGTGAATTTTCAGATTTTTCAAAAATCATCAAAGTATACACTTAGAAATATTTAAATTGTACAATATGTAATTATTCCTGAATAATATTGATGTTTTAAAAGAATGGAATAGCTCAGGCTAAAGGAATTTCAAGACTAAATAGCAAGCTTTTAATTGTCAAACAAAACTAAAACCATATACACCTTGGGACAAGTGTTGGAAGAGAAAAAAATTAAAGTAATGAAAGATATGGTTTCATGCTTAGTGACCAAAGGGAGATAAATTTAGGGTAAGTAATTTTTTTAATCAGACTGCGAGATTCATAGCCACCAAGACACACCACTGTCAGACAACAAAAAGAAAAGACCTTGGGGTAAATGTTGAACAAAACTCAGTAGAATGTGGTTGTTTTTTTTTCTTTTCTTTTTTCTTCTAGATAAACTCACCATTGTGCATCATCCCAGTGGTAAGTGTCTGTTATTAATGGAAGAATCTAAGACTAAAATGAAGTTACATTAAAACCAGTTTTAATATTAATGAAAACCCAATATGACTAGGTAAGTCAGTGTAAACATTCACATAGATTTTACGTTTATGTGTAAAACAACTTGACGTCCAACATAAATGTTAGGTGATTCTAGAATAGCAATGGCAGAGGAATTGTAATAGAGTGAAAGAAGCATGTGCATTGACTGACTGACCTGGCTATTCACAACTTACTAGTTGTTACCTGTGGCATGTGACTTTAGCTCTCCAGGCTTGTTTTCTCACATGTAAAATGGAAGAATTGTACATGGAGATGGTCTATAAAGACTGATAATGATTTACAGAAATGGAGGCCAGTGGATAAATGAAACTATTGATAGAGCAAATGAAATTTGAGTAACATTTGAGAGAGCAATTCACTTGAATGTGATGAGGCAGGAGTGTGTGCTGAATACTGGGAAGGTAGAGAGGATCTAGCGACCAGTTACAGAACTGGTGAATGATCCAGAGGCAACTGTCTACAGCCTGAACCAAAGCACTGACTGTGGGATGGAGAAGGAATAAGACTGAGTCCTGTAGTTGGGATGGAAAATAGGAACCATGTGGTGAAACCAGGAGGAGCAATGGTGTAGGTCAAAGGTGTACAGAAGGAGCAAGTATGTTTTGCAACTGGCCAATCCTGGTGAATGGTGAAAAGAAAATGAAGAAGGTATGAAAAAAGGGAGATTGTTCCTCAAAGGTATTATTATAAAGATTATTTCTGAAGAGAAGTAACTCTGCCATATCTGACCCAAGTCAATCCCTGTGAGTAGGAGAAAGTAATAGCACACTTGCCAAGGGGACTTTTCCAATACACCCTTTTGATCTGTTTACTAATCTTTTTATTGACCCATATCCTAGACTTTGTATATGTCATGTTTTTAAAGTATTGAATAAGTGAACCATTATATATGCGAATGACTATAGAGGTAGTAACAGAGTTTGTATTTCTAGGTAACACTTCCCCAAATGAAAATATGTTGTATAATAATCCCTTCAGCAATAAGGTAGGTTATATTTAATTTTTATAAAATATTTTTAAAAGAGAGAGACATGTGGATATATTGCTCAGTGGTAAAGCACTTGTGTAGCAAGTGTGAGGCTCTGGATTCAATTTCCAGTACTGCAAAAATAAAAGAAGGAAGATGGAAGGGGAGGGGGATGTAGGGGGAGGATGAATTTCTCTTTTGATAAAGAACATGGCCTGAAAAAATTTTCTATGTTATATGTACTTTGAAATAAATATGAACCAAATAGGTTAGGTGAACATTTGACTACAAAAAATATATGAGCCATAATTTAAGGAAATTATTTGGAGAAAAAAAAGAAAGAATTCAAAGGGGAAAAAAGCATTTAAGCCAAAGTGTACTGAACTCAACATGTACAGACAAAATAAATCTTAGAAGAATTATGAGTGCCTCTGTTTTAACAATAGGATTATGATGATTCTATTTGCATCAGAATGGATAGTACTTAAAGTCCACTTATAGGGAAAATACAGCCCAAAAATATTGTTGATACAAGTGTGCATTACTTCACATTATAAACTTAATTGGAAAGAAACTGCTAACAAGAAGCTAAAAATAACACTAAGCAAGGAGAGCAGCAATTGAAAACAGAGACCAATTCAAAACAACACTGATAATGTCCTGACCACAAATTTTCCTTTGTAAAACTCATGTTATTCCAACTATCTACATATGTGATATAGAGAATTTACACTGTTACCAAAGGTCATATAGCAGACAGATTTCTTGCTAAAATTCAAAATTAGAGTCCTTGGTAAGCTCTCATAATGAAACAATTTTAGTTTTCTTAATTTTAGTGACCCTTTAAGCACTCTTCTGTTTCAAATAAATCATAAGTAATCATAAAAATCATTTGCCCTGAAGAACTGTTGGAAGCTTTTGTGTTTTTGGATCATTTTATGGCCCACCGACGAACTATAGAGCTATATTATAGAGACTCATTAGACTCATTCATCTACAGCAGAATTGTGGATTGTACCACAATCCAGGAGTTTATGAATATCTTTGTCAATCAAAGATTCTTCCACAAAAATCTGAAGTACTAAACAATCATGCCATATCTTTTTGAGAATAATTTTTGGATAAAGTAAAGAGAAAGCAAATTCCCAATGCTCAGGTTATTTTCCCTCAAAATCAAAATAAAATTTTGGCTTTGATGTACTTGAAATTTGTAATTTTGATTTTGATTTTCTTTTAAGATGGAGATTGTCTTGCCAGTTTCTTCTGTAAAGCTGTTTTCCCCATGGCTGTGAAAGGCAACCATGACTTTATTGTATTTCTTTATTCAGCCTTAAAATGGAGAGATGCTAGCTCTGTTTTGTTTGTTTGTTTGTTGTTTGTTTTTTCCAGCTTCCTCCTCGACTCCAAGTTGAAAAGGAATTCGGTGTCTGTTGCAGGAAAAATCAATAAAAAAGGTAAAATACTAGCTATATGTTTTTAGAAAACCTAAAGCCGACTTGTTAGGGACCTGAAGGAATCATTTGTCTAGGAAACAGAAATCTTTAAATATTTCATTGTCTTCTCCTAAAAGGATAAACGTGTATTTTTCCAGCTAAAGGTGATTGTTCCTCATAAAGATTTACATATAGGGGTGATTTTATGCAAGTTAATAAATTTCATTTGATGTGCCATTATTCACTAATACATTTCCTGTGATCTCATTTTCAGGTTATGTTAATAAAACTCAAGAATGTACAGACATTGTGCTTTCTGAGTGAAGCAAGCTTGCATTTGAATTGTCTGCTCTCTTCAGGGCAAGTCTTTACCATGAAAGCGGAAGCAAGCTCTGAATTTGGGAATTTGTTACTGCCACAATTTATCAGTGTCATACCTACTCCAAATGGATGTTATCAATGTTAAAATAGAATATCATAGGCCAATAACATATTATGAAAATTCTTGCATTTTATAATGCACTTTGCACTTAAGAAGCTAGTTCTCATTTTGAAAAGTAAAGAAAAACAAAAGCAGAGAAGTTAAATGCTGCATAGAAAGTTATTGAACCTGTTTATGGCACTAATAATAATAGATTATTCCCGTGAAAATACAAACCGACTTAATACATGTTTGCTTTTCGTGTCTAAAGTCGAGAGTCCTCACATCTAGACAATTGCTTTTGTTACACTGTTTAAAGAAACCTTCCTTTTGTTAGTTCTTTTGTTTTTTTGCTTATATCCCTGAGAATATTATATTTTTGAAAAAATTTGTGTATCTCAAAATAATACACATTTATAAAACCTATCATTAAGTCTTTATAATTTCATCAACCTATTTCTTAGAAACAATTTGCTACTTAGAATAAAATGTAATTTTTTGTGGTTGTGGTTGTGGTTGTAGCTGGTACTGGAGATTGAACTCAGGGGCCCTTTATCACTGAGCTACCACTGACTTACATTCCCAGCACCTACCCACCTCCTTTTTTTTCCTTGAGAAGGTGTCTTGCTAAATTAGGTTGCTTAGGGCCTCACTAAATAGCTGTGACTGGCTTAGAACTTGTGATCCTCCTGCCTCAGTCTCTAGTGTTTCTGGGATTACATGTCTGCACCACCAAGCCTGCAAAATGTAGTTTTTATCATATAGTGATCTCCATTGATAAATGCCACAAGTAAATTGAATGTTTAAAAATGTCTGATTTCTCCAAATAAATTAAGAACTACTAAAATTTTCCACTTGTGAGTTTAAAGGAGATCTATCAGTTTTTTTTTAAAAAAAAATAAATCAACTAATTTCACTAGATAACATCCATATAGTAGAATACAAACAAATATCTATTTAAAGTAATTCTGTAAGATATTTATCAATGGTTTCTCATATCTATTAACATCCTCAAATAAACACAAGTTTTTAAAATAATGCAGTAACTTAATCAATCCCTAATAGAAGCTGCTTTTGAATGACTTCTGGAAATTCAACCCATATTTTCACATCCAAGATTTTTTAAAATGGCATACCCTGCTGTGCACTGAGCTTCAATTTCTGTGAACTGTCATGGCCAAGAGTTAGGATAAGCAATGGAAAACTGATAGCTTTTCTACAATTTCCAGATTCATAAAATTCAAATAATTATATCATTTCTCAAGTAAGAAATTCCATATTGGCCTGTGACCAATGCCAGCTGTTTCACTATTGGCTTTATTCTCCTTAAAAATGTGAAATTCGATGATGATTAAATTGGTAACTTTTATCACAATAGTGCACTTCTTTCTTGAGACTCAAATAGGGGTGAAGGTGGGAGATAAGACCTGTAGATTATTAAATTCTTTAACAAAGATAGAAATCTAAAACCAGAACTCTAACTGCTACCCTTATGAACTGAACTAACATAGATGAACACCATGGTCAAAGCTTCTCTAATGGCCTCTTTCCCTAGACATTCTGGCCCTTGGAATTGTACTCCTTTTTCATTACAAAGAAACAGAAAGATCAACCTAGGAATGAGGAGATCCTCCCTATACTTCTTTCACCATGGCTCCCATTCCTCACCCATTAGGCTTTGCCAGAGCTGGGAAGAAGGTTAGAGAAGGTTGGAAATGGGGAGTCAGAAGAAGTCTTTATCCCACCTGTTGCATAAAAGAACGAGATGAGAAATAAAGAAATGCAAACAGGGAGGAAGGATGATCCAAATGTGGAAATAATCCTAACTGAAATGTTCCATAAGGAAGCAATGTCTTTTCATTCCTAGGATGAGGCCCATAGATGAAGCTCATAGATAGAGAACATACAGAATACTATCTGCTAAATTTCATCACATAACACCAGCTTCTCCTTCTAATGGAAAAAAAAAAAAAAAAAAACAGGGAAAATGGCAGGGAAGTGGAATGGAAAAGTTTGACTTTTCCTTGGTGATTTGGAATATTTCTAAAAGTCACTGCCAGAAAAGGAAGGACTGTAGGAGATCTTCTAAAGACTTTGCACTAAACCTGGAAGCTGAGCAGCCAGTTGCTAATGTATCTTTACCTTGTCATCATCCCTTCTTCAAATCAGCTTTGTTCTCAAGGCATATCTCCAAAGCCCCTGTTCTCAGGTTCTTAAATTTACCAGCATTCTTGCTTTCTAGACTAAGGTTCTTAAAAATTTGCCAGCACTCATGCTTTCTAGAAATGTTTGAACTGGTACTGAATGCTATCAAAAGAGTTTTAATATTAATTCCATTTCTACCCAGTTATTTTTCAATAATAACAGAAAAATGCAAAGAGTCACAATATCTAGAGACGCTTTTGATTATCATGAGTAGAGAGTCAGTACTCCTAGCATCTAGGGTGTGGAGACCAGGGATGCTGATAAAAATTTCAATAATACACAAAGAATTATCCAGCCCAAAATATTAGTTGGTGCTGAGGTTGAGAAACCTTGATCTAGACTATAAAGTGAAACAGGATGAACACTTGAAACACAGTTGTTAAAATAAAAACAGTAATTTTATATGGAGTTGTTGAAAGCGAGAACCTATATGATAGTATAAGTGAATGTCCTTATTTTGAAGTTTATATGGCTTAAGCTTAAATGGATCATTAAGTACTCACTGGATCAATCTCATATATTTTTATTTTTTTTAAAGAGAGAGAGAGAATTTTAATATTTATTTTTAGTTTTTCGGCGGACACAACATCTTTGTTTGTATGTGGTGCTGAGGATCGAACCCGGGCCGCACGCATGTCAGGCGAGCGCGCTACCACTTGAGCCACATCCCCAGCCCTCATACATTTTTATAAATCAATATTTTTATATCAATGGAACCTCTAATTTTTAGAAAATGAGTCTGTTCTCAGCATTTTATGATGAGAATATCCTTATAATTTGAGTCATTTTTACATCCTACTTGTACACTATTTGCTCACCTAATCATATTCAGGAGGCCAATTTTAATAACTTGGACTTATTTGCATTTTCACTTCATATTGCTTTTCTGAATCAGTAAATATTTAGGAGAGAGCTCTACATCATAAGCCTGACCTACTGAGTCTCAGCTGATTAGCACAGATCTAGTATGAAGTCCCACTTGCAGCCCTTTGTGTTGCTGTGTGGACCAGGCACACTGTTGACCTGCCCTAATGTGTGAGGCCCACTCTTAAAGGCAGGGCTACCACAAAAAACAGCAAAAGGTACATACAACTCTTAACACAACAGACCTCAAATGTACAAATAACAATGTATCATTTCTTCAATAACTCTCATCTTCAAAATGCAGATGACAAAGCTTCTTAGGTAATTTTATGGGTATTAAATGACAGCATGTACTTACACAGCCAATACAAAATGCTGCATTTAAGAGCATTAGCTTTGAAGTAAGACCAATCTAGTTTGACCCTTGGCTCAGATATGTCCTAGGTATATAAATAAAGTCCAATTTTCCATAGTGTGTGTGCTTCATCATTGATAAAATAAGGGTAGCAATAATAATGTTAGCAGATGCTGAGAACTAAATATAGGGAGATTGTTGAATTAATTTATCACCCAAAGAAGACACTCATGAGTAAAACAGAATATTGTTAATGATTAAGATGGAAAATAAGGCATAACCTAGGACTGTCTTGAGCATGAACTATGTGTATGTAATGACCACTTTACCTAAATGAGATATAAGTTCTTGGAACATTTTCACTCAGTAAATAAATGGTCAATCATGATAGTTTTCAAAAACCAGTCTTCCATGAAATATGAACTTTGTATGATCCTTTAGACTGGATTGTCCTGAATGGTTCTTATGCACAGCCTCATAGCAAGTGATTCAAATCTTTATCATTATAAAAAATTAAAACAATGATTACAAATGCTTGAATAATCCTCAATCATCATAAATATCAGAAGCCTATAGAGAAAAAAATCCATAATGAAAAGATACCATAGCAGCATTTTCTAAGTTATGTTCTAAGAATGGGGTATCCTGGACTAAAATGAGGTTCAATGATCCAGTAAGTTTGGAAAGTGTTATTGTGTTTTATACCATTTTAGAATAGCACACTATATATTAAAATATTGAAAATGAATCCTGCAATACAGAAATCTTCACTGTTTGAGAACACTGGCTTACATTTTATGTATACATAATTTGGCCTCATTTTCCATGGAATTGGAAAATAAAGACTGCCTACAGGATGCCTGGAACCTGTTGAGATGGAGTCTGAAACCTGGTCCCGTGGGAAACAGTGTCCTGATCAGCAATGATGCCTGCCGCGGCTGTAGTGTTGTGTGGGAGGATTGGTGGCACATGTGATACATATTTTTTCATTCAGGATTTGCAACTACTTGTCATAAAATTGAAGATTAAGTCCTGAATTTTTTAAAATAATAAAAGGTTCACTGAATAAAGTTATACTGACAGCTATCACCTGTTTTCAAATGACTTAGTAAACATGTCTCTGTATAAACATGATAGTTTCTGTTTAAGATTCTGTTTAGTTTATCCTGAAGTCAACATTAAGCTCAGTTCTACTCAAACTAGTGTTAAGTCATTCAGAGATGCTGTGCATTGAAATGCAGGAGACCAGGAGCTGCTTCTGAGTCTGTGGGATTAAGTGGGAGAGCTTTGTCCCCCCTACTCCTTGCTCGGAATAGCAATAGTGACCTTCAGAGAGAGAAATTAGCCCTTGGCAAATTAACAACAACTCCTGATGGATTGTCTCATTTCTCAAGGTGGAATAGACACATTATATCAACGAAGATAAAGGTGGACAGTTTTGCCCCTAGAACTTTCCATTTCTTTGTTCAAGCAAAAGAAAAAGGATTCAGGGAAGTGTCAACTGATGTTGTTTTGGCAGGCAAGCCTGACACTGAAGTGAAAGCATCTGCAGTCATGCAAGGAGCCCTGAGCTCCCTTGCAAGACATTGGCATTTGTCACAATGTAAAATGAGGTGTTGTATAACTCAGATGTGACAAGTCATGCTTAGTACCTCCAGATATTCCGCATCAGCTGACTTGGGGAATTCTAGCAGGTGAGTTGCCATTAGCAATAACATTGAAGGACATAAAAAATATTTATGATCTCCATCTGTTCTCTTTACTCTAGTTTCCATAAACTGTGTTTCCTTAACAGAGATATTTATATACCTTTCCACTTGGATTTTGGTCACAGATGATCTAGCCAAGTTTATTATCCAAGTGTGGGAAAATGGCAAACTGAAAGATCAGTTTTATTTTCTGAATTGTGTCCCACACACAAAAAAAAATGTTATGTTGAAGTCATAACCACCAGTATATCAAAATGTGATGTTACTCAGAGATAGGGCCTTTCAAGAGATATGTAATATAAGATGACATCCTTCAGGGGGGACCTAATTTCATATGACTTGTCATTCTTATTAGAAAGATGTGGATGTGTACAAAGGTAGAGTGATATAAAGACATAGGCAGATGATGACTATCACTAAGCCAAGGAAAAAGACCAGAACAGACCATCGTCAGTGTTATGGTTTGGATGTGATAAGCCCCCAAAACTCATGTGTGAGACAATGCAAGAATATTCAGAGGTAAAATGATTGGGAAAGCCTTAACCCAATCAGTGAATTAATCCTTGATGAGGATTAACTGAGTGGTAACTGAAGGCAGGTAGGGTGTGGCTGGAGGAGGTAGGTATTGGTGGCATGCCTTTGGGGTACATATTTTGTGTCTGGAGTGTGGGGTCTCTCTCTGTTTTCTGATTATTGTGTGAGTCGCTTCCCTCCACTACACCCTTCTGCCTCACCTCGAGCTCTGAGGAATAGAGCTGGCTGTCTATGGACTGAGACCTGTAAAACCATGTGTCCCCAAATAGACTATTTCTCTTTAAAATTGTTCTTGTCAGGTCTTTTAGTCACACCAATGAAAAAACGGTTTAAAACAGCAAGTATTTTTATCTCCAAAATAATAAGAAAATAAATGTCTTATTTGAGCCACCCAGTCTGTGTTATTTTATTATTATTAAAGTGGCACTAGCAAACTAAAGCAATTAATATAAATGAATTTGGAGTAGTAAGTAGGAGCAACAGCCTGTAAGAAATTTTGGATTTGACTTGAAGTACAGTGAGAAGCAATTTAAAAGTTTTAAACAGAAAAAAAAATCCCTCACATTGCAAAATAGATAATAGATTGTAGAGAGACAGAAAAGGAGACCTATGGAAATATGAGAAGAAATAAAGGAAGATGTGTGTGTGTGTGTATGTATGTATGTATGTATGTAGGGAGACAGGGGAGGGGAAGAGAAACTTCTAATC